TTTCCCAGTAGCCTTCCATGAACAGCAACTACTTCCATAACTAGAAGAAAATAATTTAAACTGCCTGCTAATGTAGACGTGCCATTTTAGATCTCCCAGAGTTTTTAGTATGGGCGTTGCCTGTTCTTTCTCCTTCTCTTCAAACAGCCAGTTTGGGAAATGAATGTTCTGCTTTGATGGTAAGCCAGGATTAAATTAAACTACTCCTGAATTTCACAAGTCTAATATTTCAAATTAGAGATTTCAGCTCGCTCAACACATTCTAACACACTTGTGCTGGATGAAGTGTTCCTTATGTGAATAATTAGCTTGAGTAATGTGTGAAAGCAAAAGGACGATTTTCTAGGCAGACACTAATAGTCCTTCATCCGGTGCTCCTACAAATGATCATTGAGAGGTGAAGAGGAGGGTGTGGCAGGTGATGAAGCCTCTCCTCCTGGAGAAGGGCCTTTGCTGGGATTTTGCAGCCAGGTGACCATTGCATCATGTCCTGCAAATATTGTCTAATGCTATCTCGAGTGTCTTGGGTGTGTTTGAACAGCTAGGACTCCACTGGGTTAGCTGACTCTATCACTTAGGCATGGGGGTAAAAATCATTTAAAAGTCTCTACTGTTACAGGTGATCTTTTTATTGTGCTGGTTAATTGTAATGCCATCTTTAAAAGATGACAGCTAAGTGAGAGCAGAAGAAAGCAGACACATACCATGGAGCCCCTCTCTGACTTCAGTCACGGCTCAATCCCATATAGTTCCCACCCCCAGGCCCGGATGTTCAGAGTCTCTTAATTTGGAGTCAGACCCAGCTGGGGCTTGAAACTAGCTCCAGACGTTCAATAACATTAGCAGATGGTAGAATCCTCTAGGAAGTAATTTTACTGTGGATTTTCTATTCCCTAACCAGGTCTTTCGAGCATAATGGGCTTTCTCACCAGCTCACTCAGCCTTCTCATTCCTTAACTAGTCAGTTTCTCCCTATCTCTACTTAAGGAAGAAATCGAGAGAGAGAGAGAGAGAGAGAGAGAGAGAGAGAGAGAGAGAGAGAGAGAGAGAGAG